TCACCAGTCAAGAACGCATCCAACGTCCCTTTATCAATCACAACATCAAACTGCCGTCCATCAACCGCCTTCCCAAGCTCAAAGATATCCCCAACAACCCATTCAACCGTCTCCTCATGTTCTCGAAAAACATTCCGCATGTTTTCAATCACGGCCGGGCTGTAATCAAGGTTCGTGTGGCGAGGGAAGCCTGACTGGAGCATATCGATTGAGAAACGGGAGTTTCCACAGCCGAGGTGGAGGATCTTGTCGGTTGGGTTTAAGAGTGGAGTTATGGCTTGGGAGTAGAAGGACCAGCCTTTGACCCATTCGAAGGTTTCAGTTGGGTTTGTGGACGCTTCACTGGAGGAACATGGAAGATGTGAGATGATGGTTGAGGATGTGGTGGTAAGAGACGGTTACGCTTTGTATCGGGATTCCCAGTAGTCTTGCTTTGCGAATTGGGTGTTGTCTTCGACGCCGTCTTCCATGTTGATGATCAGTTTTGACAAGTGACGATGGTTTGGAAGGGAAAAGGAAAAAGAAAGTTCAGTATACAAGCTATTGCTTTTATTGGATATGATTAAGTTATTGTTGAGTCAAAGACGATCCGCAGGTAGAGCAAGAGTCTCTCCGTGAGCAAAAGACTGGAACATAAAAACAAGATTAGGGCAGAGATGGTCAGAATTAGGCAGACAACAAACTTACTCGACAAACAAACAGAACATACGTATGCAATACTGCAAGGTTGTTTGTGACAAAAGCAGGATGCACTGTAGTTTGTGAGCGTTCCCCCAGGCAGACAAAGTGTTTTACGAATTGATGGCTCCGGAAGAAACGAATGCAGTAAGACTGTAATCAGATTATCGACGTCTGAGACTTTGACAAAGATTCCGTCTGTCGAAGATGCAGTTTGAGACAGGAATACGGAGTCATTCCCAAGAAGTCTGCACACATCGATAATCACATTCTGTACGAATATTGCATGAGATTGAAAATATGTACTGGTATGATTGAAGTGTAACAACGTACATCCTTTTTGGCAGCGAATATGCAATTCATGATGGGGATATATTCGCTGGGAGAGTCCGGCGATACCGATAATGTGAGAATACGAGCTTGAATTGTGGATGCAGGGTCGGTATGTTGGCGTTTTACACGATTGATGACTGTCGTTTGAGGTGAGACTGGTGCTGTCGCGATAAGACCACTCACAAGACAAGGATAATGACAATGCTCCCGCTAAGCAACTTTGTTTGTTATAGTTTTCTTCTGAATCCCGATCAAAGTCGAGAAGCTGTTGTAGTTTCTGCACAAGAACATCATCCACGACTTTGAACTGTTTATACATTCCACCCGTGTTTTTAATGTCGGTAGAAGCATTGGAAAGGTCGGCCGAATCAAGCAGTAAATGGCTGTTAATGTAGTTGGTCGAGTTGTTTACAACCAGTTTAAAACACACCTTCCTCTTCCTGCAATCGCAGCAACGACAGCAACCCGCCCATCGAATCTCAGAGCCAAATGTGCATTAATAAAGACGAGTCTGTATGCCATCAGGTTAATTCAAGGAAGCTATCCATCCAGCCAAAGCAAGGCAACGCACAGTTGATTCAGGATTCGCTCGACGGTCCCCGAATCCAGTTTCCCCTTCGCCGCCACTGAATTCGCCGGAGAAGGAAACAGATCGACAACAACAACAAGAAGTGGAATGTCCATTTTAGACTAATTAAAAAGGACAACAAAGAAAAGACTTCAAAATGACGTCGGTTCCATCGCTTCCTCGGCCCTCGATTGCCGCCGTGGCTCCGGCTTCAACGTTTTACGTGGGTGCTTCGGCGTCGTTTGCGGCCCTGTTTTCGACAGAGTTGTACATTGACAGGTGTGTTTGTTGGAGGGAGTTACTCTCAAAACCAACTAATACCTCGCTTAGATTCGCTTGGAAACTGTGGCTGGCTGGATTCACTTGTGAGCACTGATTTGATTTGGCTGTATGATTCTAACAGTCTCCCACCAAAGACATCCAGGCGTACGATCAAGTCCTCGACAGAAACAAGAACGCAGCACAATACAATCCGTCCGTCATTCAAAACTTTATCATATCACAGTATCGTACCTTTGAAATGCTCGAAAAATACTTGCACAGGCCAAAGTTATTGGCTAGTCAGCTGATTTTTCCTCTGGATAAAGAGACGCGTGGATTCTTGATTGATTCTTATTATCGCTTTGATCCAAAGGTGTGTTGCATTCTTGCTAATTGATGGCGTTGGTGATGCTAACAACATGTTTAATGTGAATCCAAGGTATTACGTGAACTGCTAGGAAAGAAACTCTCTTCGCGTGCACTCAGAAAAGAGCTCGATGATGTACATATTAGAACAAAGACACCGTTGGCAGGATGCAAGCGGATGTTTGATAATCTTAAGCGAATTATGAAGAGGATTGAGGACCAAAATGGAAACATCTTCAAACTTGTTCAAGACGATTTCTTGTTGGAAGATGACCTTGCTGGGTAAATCTTTGATCAGTGTTCGCAAATCAGTAACTGACCCAACAACCCACTGTTGCAGTCAATACTCTCACATTATCTTCATCAACTTTTACCGTCTGGACACGACCAAAAAGAAGTTGGCGAATCTCACCTTTGCTGACTTTGATTACTGTGAGTCTGTTTTTTGCGATATTTTGCTTGCTAAATGCTGGAAACGTAAAACAGTGGGCGCCATTATTATGCAATACTTTACAATCACATCTGAAGCTGCTATCGACGACTTCGATATGGGCCTCGCCCAAGATGCACGCGACCTCAAAACTATCGTCGTCAACCACAACAAAACTCTGGACGAATTCCGGGCCCGCGTCATTACTTACCTCCAACAGCAACGTGATGCACAGCAACAACCTTCAGTCTCTCAACCTCAACCGTCATCAATTACCTCCACCGCAATCCAAAACGTACTCGAAAGATGCAGTCCAAACACATTCAAGACCCTCCTCAAGAACGTGTTCGGTCTTGGAAGCGGGTTGAGCTACAACAAAGAGATTCGTGACGTGTTTGGAACGTTGATGGAAAAGATTGTGGATCCGTGTGTTGCAGGGTGTGGATGGGGTCGCGGGGAAGTGACAGTGTTCTTTGAGGCCGTTGTTACTGTGTTTCCAGAGGTGGAGTTGCTTGCACTGCATCATCGGAAAAAGTATGAGGCGAGTTTTGGGAAGCTTTGTACGGCTGTTAAGTTGGCGGCTGTGCGGTTGATTAATGTTTAACTGAACTGGTGGTAAATAAAGCGATAATTCGGAGTGATCGTTGTATGTAGTAGTGTATGATAAAAAGTTGAAGCCAAAAAGGGATGGAGCTTTACCGAGGCATCCGCGATCGCTGGGTCGCATTCACGAGCCAGTTTCCGTTGGAGACCCGAGAACCTGTTTGGACGCCCGAACCTGCTCCAGCCGTTGCGATCCTGTATGTCTTCAAACGGAGTGGAACCACGTCGATGGAGGTCCAGTCTCTCGTTGTTCAGGTACCCGATACCACTTACCCCTCCACCGCCAATGACTAAGCACTCGTCTTTCAGTCGGTTCTGTCCTTCGCTGGGTACCCTCACGTTGTCAAAGAGTGCAATGAACCTGATCAATCGCCCAACGGTGTGTTGCTTCCTGCTCCTCACAAACCACAGCTTATATTCGTATGCAGGACAATTACCGTATTTATACACTACAAAAGGACGGGCTTTGGCTGGACGGGAGATAATCGATGAAGTCATGGACCAAGTTTGTAGCTGCTCTTCAAGAACCAATCGCACCGCCGAGTCTCATCTTTTATCTAGGTTCCTGGATTCGGCTCTACATTGAGTCCGATTGAGAAGGCGGATTCGTTGGCGTTCACTTCTCTTGGCGAGAGCAAACTTCACTTTGGATTGGTGTGTGTCATTCAATCTTCACAGAACATGAAGAGCGATGCAGAAATGTGCTGAATTTAGTGGAGCTATATGTGTACCCTGGGCCTTCGTGGAAACTGGCGGTGAAGTTGATGAAGACTGGACCAAAGGACATTGGGACAATGCCACAAATTCAAACATAGAGGAGTCACTAACTCTTCAAATCAGCTATTCGATCTCTGGTACAATCATCAAAACTTTACGAAAGTGGCTTACCCAAAATACGCGACCGACCACCCATTCCCTCTGAATCTCGTTTTGCCCCGTATCAAACGAATGGAACAATTGGACTGGATGTTGAAGCAACGGGTTTCAATCAACAAAGATGAGGTTCGTATTTGTGTGCGTCACAACGGACCCTCATAATTCTGAACTATTTCGCCCCCAGATTTTGGGTGACGTCAAGATGGCTCTGTCAGCATATTCAACACAACTTGATCAAAAGCAGTACCTTTTTGGTGCAAAGTATGGCTATTTTCTTGGGTTAAATTTTGCATTTGGATTCCTGATTTCCCCTTCTCTACAGACCAAGTATGGCAGATGCCACTCTCTTTGCGTACCTACACATCCTTCTCTCCACTTTTAATTCCCCTGCTGGTGTACACAGTAGCGTTCGCGACATCATCAAGCGTCATGATAATCTGATTCAGGTAATTTTCGTCACACAGTCTTGAATGCATGATACTAACATGCGTTGCATTTGTGTAAAGTACTCAAGACGCATTTGGTCGACATGGTTTGCCACTGAAAATAAATAAAGTACAATATCCCAATAAACTTTATATGTCAAATACAATAGCAAACAACATTTAGAGCTAAGCAATGGCATTATAACTTCCTGTATGGACGTTGAAGTGATGTGTAAGGTTCGCGAAAGGTGTTGGTGGTCATCGTTTCAACAGTTATTAACATGAATCCTTCATGATCCTGAATGCAAAAGCAACGAGAACATCTCGCAAGCGATTAATTGATTATTAAGGTTCCATGGAAAACGGGGACGAAGATAGAACGCATACAATCGGTGAGTAACTGATTCTCAACCTCCATTCAACACTCACAACCGCCCCCACCGCCTGCCGCCAAAACACGTGAGCAGAGTGGGATTCGAACCCACGCCTACGAATAGATCACTAGACCGCTCGGCCATCTGCCCATACAATCGAATTTACGTAAGCTATGTATTAGTTTTACTACAATACACTGCAACAATCCAGCGAATAAGGGCTATCTCAGTTCTAGTAAAGCTCTTGTTCTTCCTGTGTCCAGCTTTCTGCACTTGCGCTTGCTCTGTTCAGATTGAGGAACCTATGATCTACCGAATTGAAGCTAAATAGCTAAAAGGCTGTGATCCTTTACTTTCTAGATTCCTAAAATAGAAATAATAAGCTGCATTCCAGTTGATCATAAGCTGCTGATCAACACCACTATTATATCTTGAAGGTTTTCAAGATTCCCGGATCAGTCGTTTGAATGACGATCCCAGGATATCCAAACAATTGATTATACGCGTATTGAGCCATTGAATTGTGTCCTCGTGTTGATTGATGAAAAGGGTCCGAGAAGGAAGAACAATCAGGATTCGGGCAAGGAACAATTCGACAATGACAAACAGCACTCATCCACGTGAGTAAATCCATAAACAGCTTGTCCATCGGGAGAGCTCATGGTTGTGAGACGGTTTTTTTTGAGCATTGTATCTTCCGCGTTTTTTCAAGTTATCATAAAGTAAGTGGTCCAGGATCCTACACACATTAAACCAAAATCTCTTTACTAATGTATTCAAAACTATCAAAACATCAAAATTCCAACTGCAGCCATCAACAAACACATTCCGATTTCTTTGGCACCAGATTGAATGAGACCTTGCGTAGCAGTTGTAGTAAGTGGCAAAAAGGATGTAATAATTGCACTCGCAGTGGCCTTTAAAACAGTTGGGAATCCAGAAATGTTGAAGAGCGTGTTGTAAGCACCAGCAGCAATTAACTTGTGAGCCTTGGTGGTTGGGTGAACAACATCCCAAAAAAAGTAGTCATCAGGATTGGCGCAGGTACTAAGAATAGTAGCATTCGCTGTAATTGTGTTGCACGCATCTTCCACATTCTTGAACCCGTAATAAGCGGAACCTTCAGGAGTGACTGTATAGTAAAGAAGAGGAGTGACGTCGTTAAAAATGATGTTGGCTTTGGGGGCAACGCCTTGAAGGTTTGAAATTCCAGCTGAAAGAACGGCATTGAATCCGTCAACAACTTGCTTGATTTGAGATGTGGCCGTAGAGGCAAGCTTGTTGTTCATTGGAAGTCTTTCAAGAGGTGCGAAGCCGTTTACCAAAATGTTCTTGGCTCCCGATTGGATGAGCATTTTTACACCAGTTAGAATGTCGGTTGCATAGGCAACTGGGTCAGGAATGTTGCCAGAATCAACAGTGTATGTCAAGTCGTTTGCCCCAGCCCAGATAGTGAAGAGCGTCGTGTCCAAGTTCAGTGCATTGGCAGAGGAGTCGGCTTTCCAGTTGGCGATTTGCTTGCTCAAATCTGGTAAGTCATTGGCAGTGAGTGACTTTGAAAACCAAATTGGATGATGGTACGCATCCGTCACGTTGGCAACGGCTCCAGCAACGGCATAATTGTGTAAGTTCGCGTTGTTCAACGTTTCAGCAAGCTGCTCAACCCAAACAGGACCGTTCGAGCTGTAGAAGTTGCGTTAATATAACTGATATTCGAAGGTGTTACTGTGGGCGAGCGCCTTTTGCTCTCGCCTATCCCTTTCTTCTTGTTTTACTGTCGGAGTTGTTTCTTTCTTTTGTTTTATCTCCAGTTCCATTTCAGTCTTATACGTGGTCTTTCCCTTTTCATTTTGTTGGACGAAGTTTTCTTGGTGTGTTGTTGGAAATTGGTGGTGCGAGGTTCAGCAGGTTCAAGTGGGATTCAAGACCACTCTATCTCCCCACTTTATTCTAAATTACCCAATCTAAATAAATTGAAGAAGTTACCCAAAAACAGAGCAAGTGGTGTGGTCAAGTCGACCGAACCAACCTGCCACCCGCAAGACCTTCGAGTCTCAACGAGGTCACCCGCACCCTCGGGTCGCTCAGCTCGACCGCAGCCCGTGTTCTCGATCACTGTGCACCGCCATGGGGAAGGGGTACGAGTTACGAAGGCACTATCGAGTGCTCCCCTCATGGTGGTGGATCGAGTTTCCCTACTGGCCCACAGACGCTGCCTTCTACCAGACTACTTGATCTGTTGTGGATCATCTACTAGCGATTTCGCGCGTTTCTCAAGGGTTTACACGCCGTTTTGGTCAAGTTGGAGAGGGTATCCACATGGTATCCACTCCCGATCAAAGGCAATCGACGATCAAGCACTTGCTTCGATTCCTACCCACGCCTACGACCCTTCTTCTGGAAGTCCGAATCCCAGATATGCTGTTTTGGTTGATTTGGCATTGGGTTGGGTTTCTACGGATTTTCCCCTTGGTCTACAAGTGTCGCAGAGTCTCTTCGGACTCATATCGTCAACCTACAAACTCAGAGTTTACGAGTACATTCCACGCGTTGTATTGTAGTTTCAGAACGTGGTGTTACAGCGATGCGTCAGCCAAACAAGCCTTGATATCCTTGATCGAGACGCTCCTCAAACTTGGACTTCTGACTTTGGCTATGGCATTGCTACGGAATTAGCCACGTCAATGATTCTTATTCTTGTTGGTTTCACGCTATCCAGTTCATTTTGCAAGTTGGTCACAAGCCTGGTGATGGAAGCCTCCCGATTCATTCCTGCCTCTGATACGGGAGAGTTGTACGTCTAATGTGCGCATTACTAACAGCTTTTCTTTCTGGATTCCGTCTGGTGTTGTGTTCTTGGTTGGACTAGATATCTACTTCCTTCTTTCCCGTTGATTCAATTCTGATGGATGTGCAGGAAGCTACAGACGCATCTAGCATTACCAGACCACTACCGCCGTTATGTTGTTGGATCTAAACCTTGGAGTTGTACCTACATTCAAGCCCGCTGTTTGAAAGAGTACAAGCCCATCAAAGCAATCCAGTGACAACTCTTGCTTTTGCGCTTCTTCCCTCATTGGAATCGGCTGGTTCTTTTGTTGTACGGGTTCTGTGATGGTTGTATGGTTTTGAGGGTTGTAATTAGGACCCTTTCCCCATTTTATTTTTGCTTTTGCTTGCTTAAGTTCTATACTTTTGCTTTCTGCCTTTAGCTTTGGTTGTTTTGTTTTGTGGTACGGGATTGAGTGCTAGTGGCGTGTGGATTGGATTGCGTGGTGAGCGGGATACTGAGGAGATGGAAAATTTGTTGTCTCTTGGCGGGTCCCCCCGTTAAAAGGCAGCAAGTTTTCCAGATTTCCTTGCCTTTCCCACTCTTGCCGCGCAACTACCAGTTTTACGCGTCGCTAATGCTCAATCCAGGTACAAACCTCTTTTATCACAATACATTTCCCACTCTTGCCGCGCAACTACCAGTTTTACGCGTCGCTAATGCTCAATCCAGGTGCTCTCGTCGCTAACGCTCTCAAGATCGAACAGTTCCATGGCTTCGACGTCGACAAGTGGTCTGACTGGTTCAGACTCTACGTTACATACGCTAAAGCCATGGGTGGCTCCAATCAGGATCGCGAATGGGTTCTCCTCGCGATCCAGGGCGCTACCATTCAGGACTCCGCGATCAGAGCTGATGCTACTGCGTGGGTTGCTGCTCAAGACGCTGCTGGTATCCCGGTTTCCTTGGAGGACTTCCTCCAACACATGCGTCTCCAGTATGCGAGTGGTAACAAGAAGGTCACATCCTCCGACGTACTCTCTACTATCAAGAACTACGGTGTCTTCCCTCCCGAAAGTCCTCATTGGGGTAACGTTGTCGCTGCTGGAATTGCCAAACGGTCCAAGATGTCCAATCCTGGCCAGTTCCCTGACAACGAGCTTGTCAAGGCAGTGTTGGGTGAGATGCGATTTGATATGAACCAAGCGGTGCTTGCCACAATGGATGCTCAACGTAACCAAGTGGATCTTGCACGTGCCTCCCAAGGTGAACAGCCACTGGATCCTGATCGTGAATACACGCTTGACGAGCTCCAGTCTGCCTTGGTTCGCTTTGTTAATCGTGCTGCCAATCTCCCTTTCCGCCAAGGCGCCGCTGAAACCCCTGTTACTCCTCCCGTTCCTGTACCTCCAGTTGCTACTGGATCTGCTCCTCCAGTCTTCCCTTCTTCAAATCTTCGTGTTCCTTCAAGCCAGTCACGTGCTGCCACACCTGCATCTACAATCCAGCCAAATATCAATGAGCTTTCGGATTTGATGAGTAAATTGAGCATCTTGCTTCAGATGCCAACTTCTGAGGTGATCAACGGACTTGCCAATGTTGGGATTCTCGAAGCTGACGTTGATGTTGATGCGTTTGATCTCAAGAACATTATCTGTTGGTATTGTCACGAGCCTAACCATCGCCCCGGCACTTGCCCTCACCTTGATTCGGACATTAGAGGTGGGGCACCAGTCGCCATTGACGCCACTAAGAAACTCCGCTGGAAGATCATGAGTCTTTCCGGTACAGGTGCTTTTGAGTGGGATCCTGACTGGTTTTCCAAAGCCAGAGCCAAGGCGCTTGCATCCAATACTGTCGGAGTCAGCTACGGAAATGTTGAAGTCAGTATGCTATCATCTGTCTTTGACGAGAAGTTCCATTCTCCCCCAACCGAAGAGTCTACTTCCAAGTTCCATTCTCCAGTCCCACTGGCGCCTCTTGTAGCTGCGAAATCTTCTGTGAATTTCGCTCCAGTTATAAGATCAACTGTTGCTTCAGGTTCTACTAAGTCCGCTGTGCTACGTCCTAAATTGGAAATCTCCCGCGTTACACCCAAACAAGTTGATTGCGCTCTTGTTGCCATGGGTGTCACACAAGCGGGGGAAATGGTTCGCGTTAGTGATGTTCTTGACACTGTGATTGACTTGTTCTATACTGGCGAAGCTCAAGTTGCTCCAGCTATTCGCACTCGAGGAAACGTCACTATTCCTTGGCCTCCAGCGCCTGGGCAGGAAACCCTTCCAGTGAGGGAATCTCCACGTGACAAAGCTGCGCCTTATGCTGTTCCATTCCGTGAAGGTCCAAGACGATCAACTGAGTTGTCCGATTCTGATGAGGA